ATAATGGTATTGGTGTTAAGAAGATAAATATAAGGCATTTATTCACTATCAAAAATCTGCTGAAATGGGATATGGTAGTGCGATATATCAAGTTGGTTATTGCTATCAAAATGGAATTGGTGTTGAAAAAGATGAAAATAAAGCACCATTTTATTATAGAAAATCTTCGGAAAAAGGATTTAGTCGTGGAGCGTATGAACTTGGTCGTTGTTATGAAGAAGGAATTGGTGTTGAAAAGGATGAGCACAAAGCGTTTATTTATTTTCAAAAATCTGCCGAAGAAGGGTGCACTGACGCAATGCTTCATGTTGGCCGTTGTTATTATAAGGGAATTGGTGTTTTAAAGGACGAAAATAAGGCGTTCATTTATTTTCAAAAATCTGCTGAGATGGGAAATTCTAACGCGTTTATTAAAGTTGGTAGTTTCTACCAAAGAGGAATTGGCGTTGAAAAAAATGAACAAAAAGCATTTATTAATTATAAAAAATCCGCCGAGATGGGAGATAATAATGGATTATATATTCTTGGTATGTGTTATGATATTGGATGTGGGGTTGAAGAGGATAAACATAAGGCATTTGTTTATTATCAAAAATCTGCTGAGATGGGACATAAAGAAGGAACGTGTCAGCTCGGAAATTACTATTATCATGGAATTGGTGTTGATAAAGATCAACATAAAGCGTTTATTTATTATCAAAAAGCTACTGAAATGGGGCATGCAGAAGCATTCTTAAGCCTTGGATATTGTTATCAACTAGGAACCGGAGTTGAAAAGAATGAACATAGTGCATTCAATTACTTCAAAAAATCTGCCGATATGGGGCACGATAGAGGAACATTTTGTCTCGGAGAATGTTACTCTGATGGGATTGGAGTTGAAAAAGATGGACATAAAGCATTCATCTATTATCAAAAATCTGCTGAAATTGGTTATGCTCCTGGAATGAAAAAAGTTGGTGATTGCTATCGAAATGGAATTGGTGTGATAAAGGATTTACAAAAAGCCGAATATTGGTATCAAAGGTAATAATTTTTTCATATAAAAGTATTCTTGCCACACATGCAATTTGTTAATAAATTCATATCTTGGTTAATTAGAGAAAAAATTATGACATCAGGTGAAATATCAGGTAACTATTTGCTTTCATATTAATTCAATTATAATGGTTCAAAACCTATAATAATCTATTATCTATTTGCTTTAATTAGCCATAGATGAATGGATACATAAAAAATTTGATGTAGACGATACTTTAAAAAAAATGATCATAGAAAATAAATATCCTATACGTTGGATTGATTACAACGAATTTGAAATTATCAAAATGATAGGAAAAGGTGGATTTTCAACCGTTTATTCTGCTGAATGGACTGATTATAAACAACAATGTCAAACAAATGTTGCACTTAAACTTCTTTACAGATCAAAAGATTGTAGTAAAGAATTTATAAATGAGGTAATGTTTTTTTATCCTTATGGTTATCATTAATGATTTATTTGAATATAATCTAAATTGAATTTATTTTTCATTACAAAAAGTTAAAGGCATATTGTGACATTGGTCTTAAAAATCAAACTTTTTTTAAATGCTTGGGCATATCAAGAGATGAAGTCTCTAAAGATTATATTATCGTTACTGAATATCTACAAATGGGATCTTTACGCGAGAATCTTTGTTATGTATCACAAATGGAATGGGAAAAGAAATTACTCTTATTAACATCCATTGCATCTGATCTTCACATTATTCATTCTCAAGGTCTTATTCACCGAGATTTACATAGTGGAAATATACTACTATATAATTTACATAGTGCATATATTGCAGATTTAGGGCTTTCATCATTAGCTAATATAGGATCAAATGATGAGATATATGGTATAATTCCATATATAGCACCGGAAGTATTATATGAAAAAACGTATAGTACAGCATCTGACGTATATTCTTTTGGCATTATTGTTTATGAAATAGTATCAGGTCTTCTGATATATCCTGGTATTCCACATGATATCGGTCTTGCAAATGATATCTATAATGGTTTGCGTCCAATTATTCCAACAAACATACCTAAATTAGTTAAGGAACTAATAACTAAATGTTGGGATGCTCAACCAGGCAAAAGACCAACTTCTAAAGATGTATTTAATACTATAAGTAATTGGAGCAGTAACATTTCTGAAGATATGTCAACAGAAATAGTTACACAAGTAGATTCTGATGAAACGATTGAAAGTTTTTCGGAATCCAACAAATCGATCCCGGCTCACTTAAAGACATATTCTGAAGCTATTTATACTAGCAGAAAGTTTGCTTCTCTATCATGTAAAAATGCCACTAATTCTGACCAGACCAATTATCTAGGTAATAAGTAGTTTGTGATACTGCATGTTATTTTCAATTAAATTTATTTTTAAATTTGATTTTTTTCTTAATAAATTTTCCGAATATAAAGATAATCAAGTAATGGAAGAAAATGGTGAAAGTTTACTAATTATTAATCCACTCATATCACAAAATGTTGTAAATAAAGGTAAAAAAGATGAGTGTGAAAATTTTATTCATTCTCGAAAATCTGCCGAGATTGAAGATTCTGACAAAATAGCTCATCTTGGAGCTTATTACCAGATAGGACACGGAGTCGAAAAAGACAATCACAAAGCATTCTTGTACTATGAAAAATCCGCAAAGATGGGAAATTCTAGATCAATATGTCAAATTGGCACCTGTTATTTGAATGGAATTGGTGTTGAAAAGGATGAGCATAATGCATTTATCCATTTCCTGAAATCTGCCGAGATGGGAGATTCTGCTGGATTAGCTTCTCTTGGGTTTTGTTATCACGAAGAATTTGGAGTTGAAAAGGATGAAGAAAAAGCATTCATTTATTATCAAAGGTCGGCAGAATTGGAGAATATTGAAGGATTATATCTTCTTGGGTGGTGTTATTTTCAAGGAATTGGAGTTGAAAAAGATGAACATAGTGCGTTTAGTTATCTCAAAAAATCCGCTGATATGGGGCATGAACATGCAATGTGTGATGTGGGTTATTGTTATCAAAAGGGAATTGGAGTTGAAAAAGATGAATATGAAGGATTCATTCATTTTAAAAAAGCTGTCGACATGAATGAATATAAGTCATCCATTTATAATAAAGTTATTGATAAGCAGAAATCTATCAACATGGGGAATGCCGCATTTAATGTTGCTTGCTGTTACGAAAGCGGAATTGGAGTTGAAAAAGATGAGCATAAAGCATTTATTTATTATGAAGAGTCTGCCAGTATGGGAAGTATTGATGGAATATATCGAGTTGGTTATTGTTATCGTTACGGTATTGGAGTTAAGAAGGATAAAAAAAAAGCATGCATTTATTATCAAAAATCCGCCGATATGGGGCATGCTGAAGGTACATATAATCTCGGACAATGTTATGATAAAGGAATTGGGGTTAATATAGATAAATATAAGTCCATTATTTATTTATTAAAATCTGCTGAGATGGGACATGTTGATGGAACATATAACGTTGGAGTCTTCTATGATAAGGGAATTGGTGTTGAGAAAGATGAAAAAAAAGCATTTATATATTATCAAAAAGCTGCTGAGATGGGGAGTGCTGAAGGAACTTTTAATGTTGGGATAAGTTATATGATTGGAAGTGGTGTTGAAAAGAATGAATATAAAGCATTTATCTATTATCAAAAATCGGCCGAGATGGGACTTGCTCAAGGGGCATATAATCTTGGTGATTGCTATCAAAAGGGAATTGGAGTTGAAAAGGATAAACTTAAGGCGTTTATTTATTTTCAAAAATCTGCTGATATGGGCTACGCTCAAGGAGCATTTAACACAGGATACTGCTATTTTTGTGGAAATGGAGTTAAAAAAAATTTACATCAAGCATTTATATATTATAAAAAATCTGCTGAAATGGAAGACTCTGATGGAATGTTTCAAGTTGGAAAACTTTATCAAAAGGGACTTGGTATTGAAAAAGATGAACATAAAGCGTTTATCCATTATCAAAAATCCGCCGATATGGGACATTCTGATGGGGCATACTATACTGGCCATTGTTATCATAATGGAATTGGAGTTGAAAAGGATGAACATAAAGCGTTCATTTATTATAAAAAATCCGCTGAAGCAGGTCACATAAACGGAACATATAATCTTGCTAGCTGCTATCTAAATGGAATTGGGGTTAAAAAAGATGAAAATAAAGCTTTCGTTTACAATCAAAAATCTGCCGATATGGGTAATGCTTATGGAATGTTTGATCTTGGATATTGTTATCAAAATGGAGTTGGGGTTAAAAAAGATGAACATAAAGCATTTATTTATTTTCAAAAATCTGCTGATATGGGGTGTTCACAAGGAGTATTCAACACAGGATACTGTTATCTTTATGGAATTGGAGTTAAAAAAGACTTACAATTATCATTTAAATATATTCAAAAATCTGCTGAGATGGGAGACTCTGATGGAAAGCTTATAATCGAACAATATTATAAAAGACTTTATAATAGAAAATAGTGAGGAAAATAGTTATGGTTATACCACAATAGATAATACGAGTTATTTGACTGAGAATCGGCAGTGTTACTTTATAAATTATACTATTTGTATTACTATTTTTCTTATTTTTCTTTATTTATCATTATTGACAAATTGGTTTTAGTTAATAAAATCTTTTTATTTAATTAGATAGACTAAAATTTTAAACTATTGATTTAGTCAATTAAAACAAATTAAAGACAAAATCATATAAATAGTACCAAATAATAAAAGCATCAAAAATTTAATTTTTGAAGTAGATGAAATAATTAAATTAATAGGTTTTTTATTTTTTCGTAGGCTATTTATATGGACTTTAAATAAAACGCATCTATGATATTTTACACCTATTTATACATTATTAAAAATTAGTTAATTAGTCAGGTATCTAAGTAAAAATGTTCTATGCCCTTAAAAACCCTTTCCAAGCCCTAACTCTAACTCTAAACACCAACCCGATTGTAAAACATTTGCAATAAAAATTTTATATACAAATCTTAGAAAATATAATAGTGTAAAACACCATAGGTGCGTTTTATAATAATTTTAAATATGTATAAAATCTTATTAATAAATGAGACTATAATACATCATAGATATTTTAAAAATAAAAAAAAATTAAAAAATTAAAAAAAAATTAAAAAAAAATAAAAAAAAAAATAAAAAAAATAAAAAAAAAATTAAAAAAAAATTAAAAAAAATTATAAAAATAAAAAAAAATTAAAAAAAAATAAAAAAAAAAATAAAAAAAATAAAAAAATAAAAAAAAATTAAAAAAAAAATAAAAAAATAAATAAAAAAATAAAAAAATAAAAAAAGATAATTTATATTTGGTGCAGGTTGCACCGTGTGCACCCCTATGAAAAATTCGAGCTAACAGTTATGGTTAGTGCTAGGTTAAGGTTAGGGTTAGGGTTGGGGTTGGGCTTAAAGTAAAATTGCAAGAGGATCGTTTTTCATTAGTTATAAAACAGGGTTACCCTAGTAAAATTTTGAGTCACAGCAAAAGGTGCACACGGTGCAGGGTGCACAAAAATAAATGCCATAAAAAAAATTAAAAAAAAAATTAAAAATAAAAATAAAAAAAATTAAAATTAGAATTAGAATTAAGGCTTAAAGTTAGAAAATTAAAATTAAAATTTAAAAAAAAAATAAAAATAAGATTAATATTTAAGTTAGGGTTTTATTTAACAAAAAAAATAAAAATACTATAATTTAAAAAATTTTAAAATAAAAAGATATGAGTGCTTGAGAGTGAAAACCTAGGACTTATCATAGTAAATTATTATATGCAGATCCAGGTTTTCACTCTCACACACTCATATAGTAATTTAGTATAGTTGGTTGTTTTTATAACTAAAAGTACAAAGTTCAAATCCTATTAGTAATATTTGAATAAATATTAACAGATTTTTATTAATTAGTCAGGTTCTAGAGTTTATAACTTTAGTTAAACTAGTGCATTTTGTACACTAGAAGGTTTTAAAAATATTTATATAATACTAATAATTAAACTAGAAATAAAACTCTTAAAAGAAGAAAGAATATAAAATATCTTCAAGAAAAGAATTCTATTAGCTAAAGCTGCTAAAGTATAAGCTAGAAATATATATATATATTAATGAAGTATATACCAGAGTTGAAATTACTATAAACTAAAAATTTAGCAAATTTGATTTTTTAAACTATTAGATTAGAATGCTCAAAAAGAAGTCTATAAATTAGAAAAAGTAGAGTATATAGATTAGAAGTAGTAAAGTTTAGTTCTGGTTTTATAATCTATAAGTTTTCTGTATAAACTTATAAACCAAGTCTTATAAAACTAGTCTTAAAACTTGAGTTAATTTAGATTTAGTTCAAAACTTAGTTTTAAAATTTGGATATATTATATATATTAGTATTTAACTTTTTAAATATAATAAAATAGCTTGTAAACTATTTATATTAAATAAATATACAATGAATATCAGATATATATAATGAGAAAAGTTTTTTATATAAATCTATTAGTCTGCCAAAGATCTATTAAATATTTACTAAATATCAGTAGCTTATTTGGCAAACTTATATAATTATAAAAAATTTCTTTTTGTTATTTTTTTTTATATATTATAATATAATTATATTTATTTTAATATTCAAAATTAAAACTTAGTAAGCAACTTCTTACCAATTATAATTATATATTGCTAGATAATACTAATATTAGAAAAATTGTTAAATATAGTAATTTAACAAATTATTTGCTATATATACTACAAAGTAATACATATTTATTTGCCAAATTATTATTATTTGATAATTTTTTTTTTAATATTATAACTTAATTATTATTTAAAATTTACTATATATTTTGATAAATAAAATATATAGCTAGGTTTTGGGCCCTATAGCTTACTTGTTAAATTGCCAAACCCTCACAAAAGTTAAGTTAAAGTCCATGGTTTGAATTGGGCTAAAGGCAGAAAAACCTCTATAACTTACAGGTAAGGTGTCAAATCGAATATGAAGCTCTATGAAAGTTCAAGTATAGTATGGATTTGATAGAAAATTTTTGGAAGAGATTAAACTATAGAAAGTTGGCACTACATAAGACGAGCAGCAGTTATAGAAAGTTTGAAAATTAGATTGTATATATAAGTTTCTGGAGATCAAAACTATAAAGAGCAGGCATTATCTGTAATAAGTGGTAGTTATAGAAGGTTTGGAGCAAATAGGTTGCATATCTAAATCCTCAAAGTACTTAGATAATACTAACAACCTATGCAGTCTGGAATTTTGATTGGAAGAGTAATACTAATATTCCAAACTAGAAGTAATAAGTGAAGTAGAGAATATAGTAAAGATCTTCTAAACAGTATCAACAACCTTAAAGTAAATTGGGATCTTGCTTGGAAGGGTAATACTAATATTTAAACTGGAAGTAGTAAGTAAAGCAATAGATATAATGAAAATCTGTAGTAAAGAATTGGTCTAATTATTTTTAAAAATACTTCTGGTACCTATATATGGTTAGAAGTTGTATTAGGTATTGTATTGTATATTACTAACTTCAGTAATAGGTACTATGCTAATGCATCATTAATCAAGGTTCTAGGCCTCTTTGTAGTATCAAGCTAGAAGTAAAAATAATTATCAGTAGTATACCCACATGTAAAAATAGATATATTAAGAAGTATTTAGCACTCATACTACATACAATACCAACTTTGGTAGCACCATATAAGACAAGTAGTATACTGCAAAGTAACAACTAGAATTTTAATAAATCTGATTATGCCTATTTGGAAAGATTGTAGTTTGAGATATAGATCATATTATAGTAACACCCCAAAAGTTGGCTTGAGATACAAATATGATAGTAGCAGTACAACATATATCCAAATTAGAGTAGTACTAAATCAAATATAAGACTATGTACACCAATTTGGAAGCAACAAGAGCAAAAAACTGTCAGAATAAACCAAACTAAAAGAAAAAAAAAGTTGCTGCAGAAAGTAGATAAGGAGACAAGGTACCAATAACAACATAGAAAACTATATATAGAAAAAGGTAGATCATATAGTAGCTAGAAGTTGATTAATAAGGTAATAGCTGTTAATTAAATTCTAATATAGCAAAAATATGACTAAATTGCTTAGAGTAGGTATCATTAGATAGTTTAATATAGCACAACTCAATTCCTATAACATAGAATATATAATAAATTTTTAAAGTTCTTAATTAATAAAAATTATAGCATATAAGTAATTTACTAATAATAAAATATATATATATATAGCTAAAAAAACAATATAACTAAAATTATAAATATATTATTCAATATATTTTGGATAATATATCTCTTTCCGCTAATTCTCTGCACCAAAATGGTCAAAGAAGAAATTAGCAAATAGAAAGAAAACTAGTATAGAGTACAATACAAACACTATTAAGGAAAAAGAACGAGTAGCCAAAATAAACAATAGTTTGCTAGAACAAAAACTTTCATGCACAAGCTTGTAGGGCTCTCAACAACAGAATTTAATTTTTGAGGAATCCTACTTTACCCTGTAGTGTTGATCTGTTTACATACATAAAAATAAACAAGTAAACAAACAAACAAACATCTACGTGTCTTCTTAAAGCAGGAAGTAAACAATAAATAAAACAATTATTAGTCATGCTCACTGTAAACAAATACATATTGTGTAAGTAACAACAAACAATACAAACAAACTAAGACCAAGCAAATACCCAAATGCCAGCTTTAGAAGAGTTTAAAGACTTTTTTAAAAAGTGTGAAGAGAAAAAAACTTGTACTTTACAACAATCAACTTCCTACTATCCTTAAAAAAGATAGAAGAGTAGCAATATACTTAGGAACAGATAATATTCAACTTATCGCCACAATCTGTAGCATACTACATATATATGAGTGGGCCGAACATAAAAAGATAAGAGAACTTGAACTAACTGAAGAGAAAAAAATTTTAATAGACAACAACTCTTCCTCTGCTGAACCACAGAAGAACTTTAGTAAAAGCAATTCAAACCATCTACTACCAGAGGTATATCTATCTTAGTCAAATGTTAAATCTGAGCCATGTTCTATAGAAGTTAGCTCAACATCTACAGAGAACATTCTCTATGATTGTAACACTACTATTAACAACTCTGAACCAGTTCTGATAGAAACTACCCTAGTACAAAAAAGAAAATCCTTAAGCAATACGAATACCACTATAACAAAGAAGTCAACAGAAACACCACAGAAGAGAAGCTTTACAGGAAAAGAAAAAGAAAGTAATATCTACTCTTCAGAAGATAAACAAGAATTAACTAAACTATCCCTACTGGAAAATGAATATGGTGTGCTTAATTATGGTATTGTGAAACAAATACAAAAAACTACTCCTGTTGGCAAAGAAGCTACTTTAAAAAGAAATAGCAAAAAACATAAGCAGTATGAAGATATATACAACTCAATTTGGGCTCCAAAAGGCAGTTTCACAACACAAAAAAATATATTACAATATTTCTTTACACTGTAAGACCTCTCCAAAGAGATAAACCCCAGTGAAAACAAAGGTTATTTAAGTTATTTCGGTGTAGCAACTATACTAGCATGGCAACAAAACTTTAAAACCAAGGCAGCCAATATAAAAATTTTATCAAACACAGATAAAAGAGAAAGCTCACTGAAAAGAAATTGGTCAATTCACCTAGAGCAAGGCAAAACTTATAGAATAACACCAGGAAGATTTAATAGCTCCATACTAGAAGAAAGGAATAAGTTCAAAAGCACAATTTATAATTTACCCAAATCAGCACTTGATAGTCTACTTCTGTGACAACTAAAAAGATATAATGTTTAGGCAGTGCATATTTTGAACAATTGTAATGGTAACCAAAGCAGAAAAGCTCATTTTTACTTTAAATTAAAAGAGGATCTTACTCAAGCGCAAAAGAGTAGCCTATTCTACTATAATATCAGACTAGAATAGCAGTTAGATACAAATGCTACTGAAAATAGTATCACACCAAACAGTCAGCACTATTTCGAAACTGATTTTAGCCAAAATACAAAAAAGAAAAGAGCTGCAAATGAGGCTAAAATTTATAAAAACAAAAATGTAAACAAAAAGCCAAAGTACACAAGAATCTCAAAAAGATCAAACAGATACTATAATGACGACAAGGAAAATAACTTTACCACCTGCAGTAAATCAAACCTGGCTACACAACCTCATAAAATCAAGAGTTTATATAACAGGGCAAAAAATAGCAAACCTCTCTTCGTAACTGATACAGAAAATATCAAAATAGAAAAGGCAGATTCTCAAGACTATATATGAGTAACGCAAGCATTGCCCCCCTGTTAACAAATGTTAATACTACTAAAACCAGAAAAGATATCAAAGGAAAAATCAATGTGCAGCCAGAAAATCTGTCACAACATGAGGTCTTGGCAGAGATTCTTAAAAAGCTGTCCAAAATTGAAAGAGACTATGAGTTGATTTTGATATCTAGACCTAACTTATTCTAAAAGTAGTTATAGGCATCTCTACGAATATAGGCAGTATTACCGAAAGCCTGCCAGGATCTACATATGATCCAGAATTTAAACAGGAGGATAGTGACACAAACAAAAATAGGAAAAATGATAAAAATAGGGCCCAATGGGATAGTATAAATAGCAAAAGCACAGAGGACTATTTTAAAGAATTAGATGTAAATTGGGAGCAATCTGAAAGAAGTATTAAAAAAGGCATCAGTCAGAAATCAAAGTAGCGGTACACAATATCAATAGTATTAAAAACAATAAACAAAAAATAGATTGACTAGTTAGCTGGTTGGAGGAAGAAGACATTGCAATTTGTGGTTTGACAGAGACAAATATTTCAGCAAATTTATATTAGATAGCAGCAGTAATTACAATATTATATGGTCAAATGCTAGTATATCTAAAAAGAAAGGCCTAGATATAGATTTCTTAGTTAGAAGAGATTGGGAAAAATTTATAGGCAATATTCAATATATAAACAAGCATTTATTAGAAGTTAGCTTTTTCTTCAAACAGCTTATCTTAATTTACTTAATAATATATATCCCTTCAAATAACCAAGAAGAAGCTAGAGCAATACAACAGAAAGTAATTAAGTGCTATATAAGCAAACCACCAACAGCCCAATATATAGTAATAGGTGACTTTAACAATATTATAGACCAGACTCTCGATAAAAATAATCCTAACCCAGCATGTAACTAAAAAGTTTTCCTGCTTTATCGATAGCTTCTAAACCAAAACTTCATAGACTCTTTCAGATTTCTAAACCTAGACAAAAGAGAGTTTACATGGTCAAACAATAACTCAGCAACACGAATAGATCAGATCTGGATTTTAGAGAATTTAATAGCAGGATTGCTCAAAGCAAACATATATGACATGAAGTGGTATACACAAAGTGATCATAGTTTAGCTCTAATTAAGCTGCAATTCCAATACCTTAGAAACTGATATAGTGCTGCACAAGCCAGACTTAGAGGATATGTAAGAACAATATTTCAATATGATAAAGCAACTAAAGAAAACTAGGAGAACTACAAAGAAAGTTTAAATAAACTTCTTAAGAACAAAGATATAACTGAGTCGCTATTCAATGTATCAAAAAACCAAGTAGTGAACCTCAATGAAGTATGAGATAAAATAGCAGGTAGTATAATTGAAGCAGCAAATCTTAACATTCCAAGAAAAAAAATTCCTAACACGGTCTCAAATACAAGAAGAAAAGGAAAAAGATCTTACTTACACTTAGCCACTACAAGCCTAAGTAAGCTAATTGCAAAGAGAAAAAAGAATTTGGGAGCATATATCGATCTTTAATCAAAAAACTAAATAAACAGAACTATAGGGCTACTTAACAAGAATCTCCAAACTGATATACCAAAATTAAACCAAGAATGGACACAAGACTGGGTAGAGGACTCTAAAGGCTAGTAGCACATACTATACAATAAACTCTCTAATGAACTGGAAACCCAAAAATGAAAAGAAATTAAAAAATTTACTAGAAAGAGATGTTTAATGATACAAAACAATCAGAGAAGAATGCTAAGAAGCCTCCTTGATAAACCCTTTAAAAAAATCACACTAGACCATATAATGATTCAGCAAAATAATTCACGAACACTAATTACAGAACCAGATATAGTTTTAGAAAAAACTCAAGAACACCTCCAACAGCAGTTCTGCAAAAGAAGAGTCGAGAAAGACCTTTTTAATCATGAATGGGCAGAAATCTACAAACCGAAAGAAGAAATTCATTGCTTCTTATACTCCGGTTTGCTTAAAGACATTGAGAAAGAAGAGTGGAACACAATGCTTAGTAAACTTAGTGTAAATACTGTGCCAGGTATATCAGGTATCGGTTATCTATTAATTAAAGCAGCAGACCAAAAGGCACAAGCAATTTTTAGAAAGTTTGCAATGTATTGCATACAAAAAGGAGAAATTTCACTTAAATGGAAAATTGCTCAGATTTATCCAATTTCAAAGGACAGTAATTGAATTTTCAATTAAGCAATATCTGCCCAATTGCTCTGCTTGAAACATTATGCAAGTGTACAACAAAGATTTTTATGAAGTGATTAGCCAAGATCATTTCTAAAAGCAATATATTAAAAGGCCCTAACTTTGCAGAACTTCTAGGTGAATCTACAGAAACTCCAATCCAAATACTTAATATATTAATAAAGAATGCAAAAGAGGAGGGTAAACAATTATGATTATTAATGCAAGATATGAAAAAGGCATTTGGCTCGGTATCACTAGAGATGCTTGACCAGGTTTTATTCCAAAATCCCGAAGGCCATTTCCCCAAAAGAACATAATATTAACTAAATTAGCCAGCATTATAACTAATGCTGGCTAACTTTGTCAATATTGTATCCTTTACAAAAATCTGTCTTTCATGATTTTGGAGTAAAACCGCTTGAACATGCATGTGAAAGAATCAAAATTCCTCTAAAAGAAACCAAATTTATTTTAAACCTTTTTTGCAAAAGACATGCCAAAGTTATCACAAGCCTAGGTCTATCAGAAAAAATCCAAATCGAAGATGGTATCGACCAAGGGGAGGTAATCTCACCTTTAGTTTGGCAAATCTTTTATAACCCTCTACTAGAAAAAGTTAGCAAGCTGGAGAATCAGGGCTACAGAATCACTGCAAAGATATCTACAGATCTAAGCTCTAACCTGTGGCAGGAAGAAACCTCTACCCAATTAGTTGTCGCTTTTGCAAATGACACAACCTGGATTGTATTATCAAAAGAAATACTAGAAAGAACAATTCAAGTAGCAGAATCCTTTTACAAGCTAAATGATATTCAAATAAACGGAAACAAATTCAAACTTGTAATAATCAACCAACCAAAGAACCAGGACCCAGAAATAGTTTTAGACAACACAACAATCAAAGCAGAAAGTAATAAAGCAATTACCCATATACTAGGTGTTTGGTTTAATAATCAGCTAAAAGAGTCATATATTAAAGCAAAAGCAAAAGGAGTAGTTCAACAGTTAGTCTACAGTTTAGCTCTTAAAAGAATCACATTAAGCTAGCTATCATATATAAACAATATGATAATTATTCCTAAACTATGCTACTTATTACAGGTATCAAAGCTATCAAAATCTACAATTGAGGCGATACATCAGTCTTTTATTAGATTAGTCAAAAACAAGGCAGGCCTTGTCAGTACAGTAGGCAACTATCTAGCTCATTATCCTAGTTTAGGTAACTGTACACCGCTATGGTATAGTTTAGTAACCAAACAAATCACATGCCTCATATAAAGATTAAATAGCTATGGTAGCATTAGCAGTATGACAAAGCTCAGAGTTAAGCAAGGTTACTTAAATGAGGTCTAATTAATAGCAGCTTGGATATCTCTAAAGAGCAAGGAATACACAAGATTTAGAAACATAATTTGGCATATTTGCTTCTATTATGAGCAGCAGAACTAAACATTAAAATAGTAGCAGAAGAAACCCTTTAGGTGATTAAGAGTTTTGGAAAAACAATAAGAAACACGCTAGGTCCTCATATGTATAGTTTTTATAGCAAGAATCTCAGAGAGCTAGGAATTTTTTTCATAGCACAATTACTTAACAAGAATGGTGATAAGTTGATTACATGGTAGCAACTAAAGCTGCTTAGAAATAAACCACCCAGGGGGAAAAAAGCTAATTGGTTTAAAAAAATCGAGCAACTCCTAATTGAATTAGCGGTAAGCAGGAAAGTTAAGGACAAATATTGTTTAGCAAACAACTGTCTAGCACTTAAAACCAGGTTACCAAAAGTCTCCAAAAATAAACGGAAGAGAGAACATTTTCTTTTCAATCAAAATAATGAGAATAATGCAGACCTTGTTTTAGGCAAAGCAGTTAAAAAGTACAAAAAAGATATTCTAGCAGAAATTCCTAGTGCAAACCAAACATCTTTAGTTAGGCATAACCAAATCATTGGCACAGTCTCAAATGGCTAGACAAAGGTAAAGAAAGGTGGAAAGACAGTGACTTTGATTGAAAAAGGCATGATTGTTACAAAGGCAAAGAGTGCTGAACAGCTAAGAGAAGATAGTAAAATAGAAATGATAGAAATAAAACAAATAGATAGCTTAGAAATAGAGGTTATTAAAAAATATATAGCAAACCAAGATATAGTCAATAACCTTATTCAAGTGCTCGAGCTTAACCAAAGAACTAGCTTTAAAGAATTTTTCTGTTACACTGATGGCTTTCTACTAGCTGTGGACTCAAGTTTAAATATAAGTAAAATGGGTATAGCTTGGATATTCCTCAATGAAGACAAAACACTATGCTACTCAAAAAATATTTTTGGAACAAGAAACTGGCCATCATCAACAAAACAGGAGCTTCTGGCAATATGGCTAGCACTATTAACAATTCCATCAAACAAGATAATCTTTGTTTTTACTAATAGTGTAGCTACTATATCAGAAATCAGAAAAGGCTTAGAATATAGTAGCATTAGACAATGGTACAAATTAAAAAACCCAGAACTTATTGCAAGTATAGTCAGTATCATTAAAACCAAAGAGCTACAAGTAAGCTTTACCAAAGTCAAAGCTCATACAGAAGATCATTGGAACAATGAAGTAGATCTCTTTGCAAAGAAAGGACTCTCATCGAACAAGATAATCAATATTGCAGAAATATGAAACCAAGCCATCCCCTTTAAAATATCTTGAAACAATCTAAAAGTAGAATCAAACCCAAGATTCTTCATTAAACTTCTTTGCCAACTAGAAGTTGGGGCAGAATGGCGTAGCTCCAAAGCAATTAAGGAAATCGAGAAGAATGACATTCTTAACAAATTTAAGTGGAATATTTTTTGGAGTAGAATTAAAAATCTAAATGGTTCAAGGTGCAACACAATGGAAAGAAACAGAAAAATCTGTACAATGCTAAAGTGTATCTAAAACAAACTTTCTACTTTTGAAGAATTGCACCAAAGAAAGCCATATCTATATCCTTCACAAGTTGTATACTCTGCAATAAAGATGAGACAGAAAATCTAAAACACCTAGCAAGATTAGATTCGAAGAAAGCTGGCTTTTAGCAAAAGAAATGACACAGAAGACACTTATAACCAGGCTCAAAAAAGAAAAGATCGAGTTCAGCTTACAAGAAGCCCTAGTTAAAAATATCTTTAGAACAAATACTGAAAATAAATATAAGATTAGAACTGAAATAATTAAAGGTCTGG